TATTCCTGTTGTTAAATTAATATTTAAATAAGATGTTTTAGGTAAGAATTTATATTCTAATGTTCCATTTTGTTTATAATCTGGATCAAATCCTTGAATTTGTATTAAATTTGTATTTGATGAAAGATTTTCATTTATTGTTAATGTTATTGATGATGAATTAAATTTACAAATATTATCATTTTCATCAAGAATATTTAGAAATATTGATGAACATGTTTGATAAATTCCATCAAATGCACAAATTAATAATGAATAATTTGATTTTATTTCACGATCAAATGATTTTAATATCCATAAATCTCCACTTGTTGAATTTATTGAAAATATATTTTCATCTAAATATAAATTTTAAATAATTTAATAAAAACAAAGAAACATTTTTCATGGAAATTTTTTTTTTTGATAAAAATTTTCTTCTATCATATAAATAAATAAAATCTATTTGTATTTTTATATGATATCAATAAGAATTTAAAATAATATTCAGATTTAATGTGAATAGAATGAACATATTATATATTTTCAAATTTATCAAAAATAAAAAAATTTTATCTTATTAATAAAATTAGTAAATTTAAAATATTTTTAAATAATTAATTAGATAAGTTTAAGAAAAATTTTCAATGTAGAATATCAAAATACTTTTAAATATTTATTTAGGTATGGCTATTAGAGTTATTGTTCATAAATTCAAAAGCAATTACTCAATGTCGAAAAATCTTGATACACATACATGTACAAAGACTCAAGTGATGTCATTTTAATACATCGTATGTTGTTGTAATCTAATCAAGTAATTCAGAAAGATCAATTGATTATGTTTTCTAGTAAATCGATGATCATAATGATAATAATTCAACGATATTTTTGTTTTTCGTCAAAATAATCATTATTCTACTTAACTTTTTGAAGATAATATATTCAAGTATTTAGAAGTTGAAAAATACATTTATGAAACAGTTCAGATCGATCAAAGCGGATATTGTTTACAGTAGTAAACTAACCGTATTTTTAGTGTATACAGTGATATATGTGTCATAATCTTACTACAACAAAGGCTCTATTTCGATATCAAGTATTATGATGATATATAGCTCGTTTACGTATCATGTGTTCACTGTAAATGATCGTAGTTTTTGATCTGGGAGTACTCAAAAAAAAAACAAATGAACAAGTTCATCTCTTAATTGATTCAATAAACATCAGTTTTTGTAATGGCAATAATTTAAAACGGAAAAACTGTAGCTCAATCGATTTTTAATGATTCACTTCTCAAAATAGTTTAGTTGGAAAACGGTTCATGACTTAAAAATTTCTGACTATACCACTAGTTTATTTACACATAAATTATAGAAACTTCATTGATTATAATATTTTCTAATCAATAAAATTTGAAAAATTCAAATATAAATGTAAATTTCATAAAAGAATAAAAAGTTTAAATGAGATTTAAATTATAGAGAATATTGATTAAAAATATTTCTAACATAATAATAATAATAATAATAATTAATAGAATAGATTTGAAAAATATTTAATAAAAATTAAGAGAAAAAAGAAATCAAACCTGAAGTTTGAATTTGATAAATAATTTGATTTAAATTATCTTGATCATAAGCTTGAAAAGTATAAATAAGAAAAGGTATTTGATTATTTTCTTGAATATGAAAAAAAAAATTTGTTTGATTAAAAAAAGGTTGACAATCATTAATATTTTCAATAATAATTTCAATAGATTTTTTTGTTAAATTTTGTTTATTTAAAATAAAATCTAAATAAATATTTTGAATAATTTCATAATCAAATGTTTTTAAAAGAATTAATTCAAATAATTGTTGATCTAATTTTTTTAAATAAAAAAAATTTTTATCAATAGATGTTATCATATCTAATGAATATGAAGATAATGAAGATGATAATGATGATGATGATGATGATGATGATGATGAAATAAATAATTGAAGAATTGTTATTGGTATAGATATATTTTCTTTAATAAATATTTGATTATCAATTTTTTGAAATAATTTTGGTATTAAAATTTGAATAAAATATTCTTGATTATCATTATCATTATTTTTAAATTGAGAAGTTAAATTAAAATAAATTTGAACTTTTGTTAATGAAGAAAGATAATTTAAATAAAATGCTTCAATAAATATTTCATAAAATTTATCAAATAAATTTATTTTTTCTATTTCATTTAAAAAAATTTCTCCACTTGTTTCATTTATTTGAAATAAATTTGAATTATCTATTGATGGAATTATACGATAATATATTTGTTTATTATTATTATTATTATTATTATGTAAATTAATTGCATGAACTTTTCCGATAAATTTTTCATTTAAATTAAATATATAAAATTGATATAAATTTAAATCAAATTTTGGTGGTAAATTATTATATTGTTGATTTTCTAAAATATTTATTTCAATTAAACATTTATCTTCTTCATTTTCTCCATCATTAACAATAAGTTCAAAAAGAAATTTATCATTTTTATTTTTTTCTAAATTTTTAATTAATATTAATTCAAGTAAATGATTTTTTTCATTATAATCAAGTTTAAATGGAAAATATGTTAAATTAAATAAATTTAAATAATAATTTTTTATTGAATTTTTTTCACTTATATCTTTATCTTCAGCTTGTTCTAATTGTAAACGATAACCTATTGATAAATTTTCATCAAATTCATATGAATAAAATTTTTTTTTAAATTTTGGTTTATGATCATTTATATCTTCAATATTTATTTTTAATTTTATTAATTTTATTTCTTCTTTTTCAATAAATAAATCACAATTTAAATAACATTTTTTTTCATATGGACAAATTTTTTCACGATCAATTTTATATGAACGAATTTGAAATAAATTTTCTTTATCAATATAGAAATTAAAACAAGGACGAACAAATTTTATTATATAATCATTTGAATTATTTAATAATAATTCAGATTTTATATATGATCTTAAATCAATAATTATTGTACCATTTTCTTCTTCTTCTTTTATTGAAACTTCAATTGAAATTTCTTCAAATGATTTTATTATTTTTATATTTATTATTATTATTAATATCAATAATAAATATTTTTTCATTTTATTTTTTCTTTTATCTTAAAATAAACAAAAATAAAACTAGATATTCATTTATCAAGTATTCTACTCTATTTAATTTATCTTTTAGTAATTGACATTAAAATTGATGTTCCTTCATTATAAAAGTGTTCTATTGTCTGATATTATATAATATCAGAAGATGGAATAGTTTTTGATAGTGAGGAATACCAATTTTAATGTTTCCACATATTCATTGTGAAGCACCTGCTAAACGAATATCAAAAAAAAGTAATTCAAAATATATTTCAACTTACTTCATATGTTTTATTATTTTCTCTTTTGTTTTTTTTTTCTTGTATGAATTCTTTTATTGTACTTTATATAAATGAATAGATCAATATGCACTTAACATAAGAGAATATGTCTATATCAATAATACAAGTATCTTCATTTATTCAAATAACAATTCTCACTCTCTTTGCTCCTTTCATTCTGTTTATATACATACATAATATGTATATAAACTAATATCATCATCAAATCGTCACTTGTTTCTCAATCAACATAAAAATAGACTCTTGAGAGAAAAAAAAAGAGACACATTTCTATTTTTTCGCAATCTGTTTTTAGCAATAATAGAAAAAGAGAGAGACAGAGTGATTATAAATTTCTCTTCTTCCTGAATATGTCGTAAGAGAATGTAAAGGCGAAAATTCAATTTGAGTTCGATCATTCTCGTTCTGTTTTCAGACTAAACAATGATGATCACTTTGTAATTAGATTCTTTTTTTTTCTTTCTCTCTCTCTCTCTCCGTTCAAATAGAAAATGAAGAAAGAAACAGGGAGGGAAAATTGAGATAGAGTCTGCAAGTACTTGTGCATGATCCTCCTATACTTGACTCTCTTATATATGTTCTCTATACACATCAGTTTGGACGGAAATTATCATCATCATCATCATCATCATCATTTTTCAACAAGTGTCCAATGTCGTCTGAGTACATTCGATAGAATTATCTTCTTTAGTCTTTTTATTTTATTTTTATCTTGATGAAGTTATAAGACATCAGCGTGAGACATAAATAATTATAACTTACCCTTGAGGAGAGAACACACTATATTGAGAATGACCCTTCTTTTTTTTTCAATTGAGCAATGACGATGCCATCAATGAAATATAAAATCTCTAGCCGGAAATTCATTCACTCATGAATAAGACACGAGAAACAGATTGAGAAGGAAAAGAAAAAGGTTATCAATCTATATATATATATTTTTTATCGTGTGTGTATGTGCAAATGGTGACGATTAATCGTCGTTTTTTTTTTATATGTCGAGAGAAGATTTCAATCGGCCTTATCTAAAGTTGAACATAATTTATCGATATAGAAATAATGGTGGTACTCAAAACAGATGTCGAGTTAAGGAAAAATATATGTTCATGTTATCTCAATAAATGGATCATAATAATACAAGCGAGAGAAAACGAACAAAAGTATATAAAAACTATTATAATTGAGATTGACCTAGTATATATATTGTGTATATTAGTAAAAGAATAACAAGGAGAGAGAGAAAGAATGAACAAGAACATATGTGTTAAGGTAATTCGA